GAGAGAGAGAGAGAGAGAGAGAGAGAGAGAGAAAGAGAGAGAGAGAGAGAGATTTACTGGGGTGGAAATCTTCCAGACCGACAGCCCGAGTGTTCTGCCCTCGGGTTTCCCTCCATCTGTAACGTGCACACAAACTAAATATAGAGCTAGCACGCATGTGTTCCCATGTTGTGCGCGCTCACAAGAGGTTTCATGAGCCAGTCAAGTTTCCACCAAGGGCGATGAGCATTGCTGCGGAGACAGGGGGCTCACCTCTGCACCAAGCAGCACCGTGCTTCACGATCACACACTCTGGGAATTTCGCATAACATGTAGCCTTGGCTAGCCAACTGTTGTGACTTGTTACTCTGTTGGTCTTTCCTCGTGAGCAACGTACTAGCCTACACATCTCTATGTCTTGGGAGGAGTTTCTGAAGAATGCCATCAGCGGAAATTGAAATCGTGGCTGTATTGTTGTGTGATGTTTCTTGCTACCTGTGCATCTTCAAAACTTTTCTAATTGAGTGAGATCAGCTTTTAGTGACTGTAAGAAACAATAATATATATTTGAACGAACTGAAAACTGGTGGATTTTTGTGGAAACTGACTCTTGATCTTTCCCTCCAGACTCTAATTCAGAAACCAGAGTAGAGAGGGGGTAAACATTTACATGACAGTAATGTAATTGTTAGATATGTTTTCATGGATTCTGTTGTGACTTGAATTGCCTTCCATCATTTCGATGTACTAAGATTTTATCGCGAAACACGATAAATAACGGTACGTGCACGTACGGAGACTGCGAGGAAGAGCTTAGTGTGTTGTTTTACAGAATGGGTGTGGCAGACAGACACTTCCAGAGTGATTCTCCGCCGGCAGGGTAGCCTAGACTCTAGTGAATCTGCTGTACAGAGGCAGGGTGACCATCACCAGAGGAGGTGCTCTTGCGCTGCTAGTGATCAGTCGATGGAATTACTTGACCTTCTAGACTCTGCATTTGGTCTGTGTTCACAAGTGACAAGTGCTTGTATGCGTCCATCCGAATATATGGCACAAAGCATTGTCATATTTCAATTTTTACAGATATAGGCCTAGTCAGCCTTGTTGTTGAGCTCAACGTCTAGACTAAAATGACTTGTCAACTTTTATGACTGGTTATAGTGATTGGTCAACTTTCACAACTGGTAATTCGTCGGAATATGGAAAAAAGCGTCGTTTCATTTCCATTTACCAATAGTCAGCTTTGTTGTTGAGCTCAGGACCAACCCCCCACACAATGGTTTCTTATCTGCTGTGCCCTTGTTGCCTGGTCCCGCGGGCCCTGAGCTTTTATCGCGACACCCAGCAGGTAGGCTACACACACAGGGCTTGCTGCATGCTCCAGTGGGACAGTATCAGCTTTCATTCAGCTCTGGGGGATTGACATTTGTCGAAGAAATGTACTTACCTGGAAGAGTCGAGTGGAAAAACAGAATAAGTCCATTTTTAGGAAAAAATAATAATCGAAACACTGTGACCATCTGGCATCTCTCAACTTTCAAAAGTGCTTGTAAAACTCCCTCTGAAATCATTATTAAGTCATTCTCAGATTATATTTTTTAACAGAAAATCAAGGTACGCAAGTCCTTCTTTCAAATAAAATTTAAAATAAAAGCTAAGCCAATATAGGATTAAATGTTACTTACCCTGTTTTTCAGTGGTCCGCCTTCACTTGATTGGCAATTGGCCATTCTGTCTATTGATATTTTACAGGCATAACTGGAAATGCCGTAGCTATGCTGACGGATCAGGACAGTAATACTATACACACTCAAATTTAGTCTTCACATGTGTTTTTGATTTTAAATAAAGCATAACAAATGTCAATTATTTAAAAATTCTGAGATGATAGTCATACGCTTTTGAATTTATGTTGTGTGCACAGTCTTTACTGAGGAAACTTACAACATGGAGTACTTTGATAATAATAAATCTTTCTAAGAATTAAAGAATAATTCAAGGCATTATAACACCAAAACAAAAATTACTCAAGCCATTCCTCATGTTTACTTAGGCCCTCGGTTTACTGTAAACAATTAATTTGGATGATTGGGTAGTTTGGACTGAGGAATATTTTGTTCCCTGCTTTTTTGTGGTGACTCTACGGATGTGAGAACGCTGTATATCTTTGAGGTGATGCGGGGTATAATTATTGTCATCTCCAAATTACACTTCGTTATAATAATTGTATAATAAAGTTGAGCTGTATTTGATTCTGTATAAATCTCATTCATGTACTCTTGAAATTGTCCAAGACAGCCGTGCGCCCTTTGTCAACGAGATGTGTCTTAGGCAGGTGGACGTCTTGGACAATGTCATTATAGTGTTTTGAAAATTGCACAGGGGAAGATTGGTTGAAGTACTGGTGATTTATTTGACAGGTGGTTGTTAGAGCAGGTTCAACTGTACTTAAATTATAATGGCTTTTAAAAGGTGTGAGTTTGATTCCTGTATGAGGAGGTTTTAAAAAAAAATAATAGAGTATCAGTATCGTGGTCTGTCTGTTGGGACATTGTATCCCTCTCAGCCCGAGCTTGTCCTCTCAGACACTGTCGAAGCAGCTTGTTGCCTAGATAATCTAAGTATCTTGTATCGATTGGGCGATAAAAGTAATAATTATGATAAAGATAGTAATTTATCATAATAATAATAATAATAATAATAATAATAATAATAATAATAATAGTTTGTCTGTTAATGTCTGATGATGAATAATTCATCTGCAGAGGAGAATGTTTCTCTTACAAGGAGCGAATTTAAGAAATTTATATATAAAAGGGTTAAGATGACTTAGTGGTTTCTGTAGTGGCCAGTGAGATCAATTCTGGCAGATAGGAGCCTGTCACATTTTGAGCACTTAAAAGATTGGTTGTCAATCACGGATGTGTGATGTGCAGCTTGCATGCTTCTCTCTACTTCGGGTGTAAAACATTTCTAAAAGTACAATTTTTTCCGAATGTATTTTGTTTGTTCCACCAGCTGTCTTCATCCAGTCAGATGGCGGCCGCAGCAGCTGTGGCAAGTCCCCCTCACTGCACACAGATGCCTCCGGTGAGCACACCAATCTTTGGTCCTTAAATTATTATATCGGCAAGCTGATCAAATGTGAGGCGTCGTGGTGAAATCTTGTGCTCGTCAAAATAATGAAATCAAAGAAATCTGCATTTTTCAGACCGTTGGGCAATTTTTTTCTAGTTTTCTTTTTTTGGCTTTAAACTTTTTATATTAATTTAAAAACACATTTCTGTGTGGATTTTACTGAAAAACATTGATTAAAGGCACAAACAATGTCAATTTTCAGTTTTCAAGGACTCTCAAGCTATGGAAATTACCAAACCTTTGCTGCCATTTCCTCGCTTAAAATATTCACCTCTGAAATCAGGCGACCCTGATACCTCCTTCAATTGCAAATATTTCGACTTCTATTCAACATTGATGGATATTTTTTTTCACCAAAAACAAGGCAAATGAACAGGCTTTAAGATGATATCAATAACCCCATATGCCCAAAAATTGACAAGCGCCTGATTCCATCGTGTCGAAACACAAATGTTCTAAGCCCAGAGATCAATATATTTTTTCAGGAGAGAGGAGAAACATTATTTAGGGGACTTTACTGAGAAACGTTGAATAATCGCAAAAAAATGTAAATTTGTGTCTTGACGTGGTGGAATCAGGCGCTCATCAATTTTTGGGCAAATGGCATTATTGGTATCATCTTAAAGCCTGTTCATTTGTCTTGCTTTTGGTGAAAAAAATATCCATCTATGTTGAATAGATGCCGAAATGTCTGCAATTGTCGGAGGTCAGGGTCGCCTTGTTTCAGAGGTGAAATTGGCGAGGAAATGGCTGCCAAGGTTTGGCAATTTCCAAAGTTTGGTAATTTCCATAGATTGAGAGTCCTTGGAAAATGAAAATTGACATTTTTATTCCTTTAATCAATGTTTTTCTGTAAAATCCACACACAAATGTGTTTTCAAATGATAAAAGGTGTTGAGCCAAAAATAGAAAATCATTTTAAAAATTGTCCATTGATAGGAAAATGCCAATTTTTTAAATTTCATTATTTTGACTAGCGCCTGATTTCATAATGATGCCTCACATTTTCAGTTTCCAAAGACTCTCAAGCTATAAAAGCCATCATACTTTAGCGGCCATTTTCTAGTTAATTTTACCTCTGAAACCAGGGGACTCCACCTCCTTCAACCACAAATATCTCGACTTCTATTCAAGGTAGATGGCTAATTTTTAAAATCAAAAGCAAGACAAACAAGCTTGGAGCTGATTCCCATAACTCCACATGCCGAAAAATTGACGAGCGCCTGATTCCACCACGTTGTGACATAATATATATATTATTATTTATACTTGTCGTTGTTTCACCAGGGATCAGAGACCCCAAGAGGTCCCTTTTCTGCCCGTTCAGAGGGTCAAAGGTTAGAGGGCGTGACTCAGGTTCATGCAGCGGCTGTGAATGGAGACCGGCAGACTCTGTCTAGGCTCTTAGCGGGTGAGCTTTGAAGTGTTGTATTCCCTTGGATACTGCGGGGGTTATGTTCCACCACCTTCCGCGATTGGAGATTTCGTGAAGTGGAAATTATATAATATTCATTACTGTTACATAATTCACACTCTTAACTTATTCGCTACGCATTATTTTCGGCTTGTGGAAGAATTTTTTTTCGGGAGGGCGAATGAGATAATGACTAGTGGGCAGTTAAAAGGTCTTTGGGGCCACAAATTCAAATGAATATCAACGTATTATATACCAGTATTTTCAGTATGATACATCTGTAATGTTTATTTATGTATTTTTCAACTTTGGTTCCTGTAAGAGACGATTATGCAACACAATGTTGATTGAATGCGGATAAAATTTGAAAATAAAAAATTAATAATCTTTGGTGAAACTCAAAAAATATGTTTGCACCTAGTCAAATGATACATCAAAATAACCATAGCTGAATATAGAATTGGAAAATATTGAAAAGTTTGCAGTTATTTACCTACATTCCATAATATTTGTACATTTTGAAACATCCGATATTGAAAAAACAAATAAAAATTTTATAATCTTTAAAAACGATCACAAACAGAAAAAAACCCACCCGTATCTTATATGGAATTATTCAGAATTGCATTTGGAATAAACCTATACATGTCTTGAGTGGCACTTTTTTTGTAATTTTGTCAAAAAGTAGTGATTTTGGGGAGAAAAAAATATTTTGACAATTTAGATCTAGACCTAGATCTAGTACTCAAAAATATTGATTTCTCAATAACAGTGCATTGGCAATAAGAGTCCAATCGTATCAATATTATAAAAAAGAGTCTTACATTTCTTTAGTGGGTAAAATAATGATAGATTTTGTTGTGTAAAATTACTAAGACCGGTGTCCGGGCTATAATTTTGGCATTGTGATAAAACAAAGTCGAGTAAACTACGAAATCGCGTTTCAAAACTGAATCTAAATTTCCGGTTTTCAGTGGAAGTCAACATTATATTATGACCTTTATTTTAACATGGATATGTGGATTGGAATAGAATCTAAGCTAAAATTGAAGATCGGTTCTTGAGCCTCCGGGGGGCGGCTTAGCGTACTGACGGCACTTAGCCGCGCCGCCCCCCATGGCTCGGCGTAGCGAATGAGTTAAAAACCCTTCCTGCACTTTTATAAATTTCTCCCTGGCTATTATAAACAAATTTTGCATTTGGAATATATATGAGAGACCAAAAGTATTTAAAGAATGAAAGATTTGTATGTCTTTGTTAATAATTTTACCAAAATTAGAACTGGTCACTCTTCACCAATATTATAGTGGGGCCGCTTAGCAAACCTATTGTGCATTTTGTGATACGAGCACCAAATTTGGCACAAATGTAGGCCCTACATTAACATATTGAAATCATTTTCAGATATTGGGCCACTCGGTTTCTCTCTTTATGGCCGCCATATTGGATTTCAAAATGGCCACCATTTGAAATCTACATTTGCAATTATCTCTGGGGCAAATGCTGCTATTGACTTCATTTTGGTGTCTAAATGTATGTTTTTGGGGTCAAGGAATCCAATGGTAGCAATCTGCTTTGCGTATTTTTACTGAAGGGTCGCCATATTGGATTTCAAAATGGCTGCCACTTGAAGTCTACATTTGTGACTATCTCTGGGTGTAATGCTGCAATTGACTTCATTTTGGTGTCTAAATGTATGTTTTTTGGGTCAAGGAATCCAATGGTAACAATCTGCATGGCGTATTTTTACTAATGGGTCGCCATATTGGATTTCAAAATGGCTACTTTAAATTACATGGCAGCTTCTCGATCTACATTTGTCGTTATCTTGTCGCTGTCACGTGTTTGGAGAAGCCAAGCCCTTCACAGTGTTCCCTGGAGGATGCCAAGAAGAATCTGTTGCAACCGTTGCTGCTTGCCTTAGTCAGCATGATCCTAGAGGAACCCAACATCAAGGACCATATGGCAAACACTAACCCTGCAGCAATTACCGCTGCCTAGATACTGAAGTTCAACAGCGTAAAACACAAGCAAACACGTGGCACCACATCATCCACCCATGTCAGGCACAGTGTTGCACAGGAGACCCCACTTCCAACGTACATTGGGATGATATTGCATGCTCATACACACAAGAAGGAATTGGTCGACAGACTGTCACACTTTGGCCTGAGCATCTCTTATGATAGTTTGCTCTAGCTCTCAGCATAGATGGGCAACCATGTCCACCAACAATTTTACAAAGAACAAGTGGTCTAACCTCCAAAAGTGCGCAGCGGAAGTGTTCACAATTGCCGCTGTAGACAACATATATCACAATCCTAGTGCAACAACATCAAAAGACTCCTTCTATGGTGCCGCTATCTCCCTCGTACAACATCCTTCTTACACTGGCGAAGGAGTAAATCAGAGCATGGTCGTTGCTGGAGAATCTGGGGATGCACGGTCCAAGACTGTCGCCCCTTTGCCGCTCTAATATACTGATGTACCCCCTGTCACTAACAACATCAACACGTCACCTGTCCCAGCTGCTGGAATTGCGTCATTGACCAGAGGAGGCTTCAAACAGTAGACTGATGAAGAATACCAATGGTTAAGGGAGGGGGGGGGGGGGGGGGGGGGCTACACCTGAAGGCTATCTCGCTTATTACTGGACCAAATTTTACCAAATTTCACACATATAACAAGCATAGTAAGGAATCTTAAAATCCGCAATCAAATTTGAGAAAAAAGTTTCATTTCCATGGATACGCCGCCATATTGGATTTTATTGACATGTCTTACGTAATGAATACCGCACTTATCGCTCATGGAAATTGATTGTTTTTTTGCATGCGTGTTCACAAACATTAGATCTAAAAATACATCTGTTGTTTTTTTCCTAATCGAATTAGAAAATTTTTAATGAATTTTTTCCTGAGGTAGCATTCAAGTTTGCGAAAAATCCATAAAAATCCACACTCCAGACACCACCAACAAAAATCTGTTCCATATATCAAAAATTCAACAGACATTTTTAGTATTACCTCTTCTCTTCATTCTGTGAAAATTTCATGAAGATTGGATGGAAAATGGTGGAGTTATTAAAAAAAGTATAGAGAAAAGTCGCATTTTGAGAAAACGGCCGATAAAGAAAAATAAAATACTGACTTTATGAGTAAATGGCGGTTACAAACATGCCTGGTATGGGAAAAAATACGGTTTCTGGAGATTCTTATGCCTTGAAATAGTTGTAGGAGAGGCTGAGGAAGCTAAAAATGCCTACAACTCAAATTCCATGATTTTGAGCCGAATTTTGATTTTGGGGGTGTAGCCCCCCCCCCTTAAGCGGTACAAAACACGCCCTGGGAGACAACACTGGTACAGTGGACAATGAAAACACATCTTGGGTTGCATTTCATGCCAGCCGACAGCCCCCAGAGGCTACAGTCATCTGCCCCAGGTCGCTGCTTCCACTCTTCCTGGAAAGTGCCCACACTGTGGCAATGATTAGGCATTCAATGGAAGTTGTGAAGAAAGCTGTAAAACACCTGAATCCTGGACAGACACCAGTGGTCACCTTGGATCAGCCACTGTTTGCTTTGGCCAAGCACGTAGAGTGGAAGTGGCCAGAGAGTTATGGTGAAGAACATATAGTGGTGATATTTGGTGGTCTCCACATAGAGATGGCAGCACTGAAAACACAGGGGGACTGGCTGCAAGGGAGTGGTTGGTGGCAAGCACTTGTGCAAGCCGAGATTGCGACAGCAAGACTCATTCCTGCCAGCATCTCATGTCTTGCGCACAAGAAGGGCATATCAAGTGACTGCAACAGCACTGTACATCCTGCAACCACTACTGTCTGGGAGAAATCAGGAATGCAGAGGACATTTCCGCGTTTGAAGACTGGTGTCGCCGGAGACGAGACAACATCTCCCAGTTTAGCTACTGGGCAGCTGTGCTGGAACTAGAGCTGTTGGTTCTAGTGTATGTGTGTTCTCTCAGGCTGGGATCATTGATGATGTACCTCGATGCTCTGACAGAGCTGGTCACCTGGTTCCACGCACTAGATCACACCCACCATGCTAGGTGGATACCAGTGAACCTGAAGAACATCGCCGAACTCACTACCAAACACCCAGACGTAGCCAGGAAGTTCAGTGAAGACCATTTCACAGTTGAGAAAACAGAGAGGGTGTTCTCTTTAATCCCGATTGACCAGGCACATGAGCAGAATAATGCCTGCATCAAAGGAAACGGTGGCGCAGCTGGGCTCACTGACAATCCTAGTTCCGTTCGTCGCTGGATTGTTTCAAGACCAGAAATTTCTAGGGTGATCGAAGAATTCCAGGTCGGGAGCCTATACTGGAGACAGCAAGCAGCAGACACACATCATCATGATCGAACGTCAAGTGTACATGCCTCTTTTGTGAAAGATGTTCGCTCTCTCGTCGGTGTCATAGAGGAGATGGGCAACCCATTCGAGGAGGAGAGTCAGGAACTAGTCATACTGGACACAAAGGACATCGCCGTGGAGACCATGATGAAAGCCAAGAGGATTGGTCATGAGCAGCCCCAGGCTTTCACCAGAGAGTGTCTGTTGGACAGAACAAAGGCAGTGGACGACCCCATTCCTCATAACAAGCTGAAGGTATTCAGCACTTCCACTCCAAGAAACAAGAGTAAATGTTAACAACAGTTCGCCTCTGTCAAAAATGACCATGAACTCATCGCACGCCTGTACATTGGCTGGCAGATGAGGGGTGGAAACCTTGAGGAGTTCTTTCGTCACAAGAACCAGGCATGTGCTCCTGCACTGTCTGCTGGTGGAAACCTCTTCACTTGTACCAAGAATGATCTCATCACAGACTTGGAAGAAATCTCCGACGCCAAGACAGAGACTCCTGTCACTATCTGTATATTTCTTGATGGAGCAGCCATCATCCAGATGCTGAAGCTGGCTGCATTAAAGACATTTGAAGACCAGAGCATGCTCCTCAGATATTCATCCCATATGGCAAAAAGACTTCGTGGGCAGTCTGGACGGTACTGCCAGAACTCACTGAGGCGCTGCTGCTGGTGTCGCCCGCACCACGTAACATACCAAATGATGCAATGTCCATCATCAAGAGGCTCATGATCTTGTTGTTTGATCGAACCAGTAAATGCACGGACAATGACACAGCCAGGAGGAAACTCTTCGCAAGGAAGAACGATGTGCAGCTGATCCCTCCAACGAAAACAGCTTTAGAGGAACGTGTCAAGAGGGGAGTGTATTGAGGTGTACTTGTGTGGGGTGAGATACTTTTGCCAGCACCAGAGCTCCCTCCACCAACCAACTAGGGTTGGTCAATGACTGGAGGACAGTACACACCATACTGGACCAGGCTACCCGAGGCAGCTCGCAGCTGCATCTGCATTTGGCTGGTGTCTTGCAAATGCCATTTCTGGTGTGTGAGGCTCTGCAAATGCAAGACGACTGCCCTTTGTGTGTGTGAAGGGGACTACACATGACGATGGGTCCACAACATACATGTACTTGTGGCAGTGCTGAACTTGTTAACATGACACTGTTAATGTACAGGCATCTTCAGTACCGATGTCTACCTAGCCTCAGATACCAGACCATTGAAGAATGTCAGTTTCCACCTAGCTTCAGAAATTGGATTAGACCGTGTAGCATGTCAGAATTGTACCTAAGACATTTACAGACTAAAAACTTTTACACCCTTTATGCTTTCAAAATTGAGTCGATAGCGCCGTAAAACACATACCCAATCAATCAATCACCATGCTTTCATATAATCATTCTTTTCAAAGTATCGTGTTCACTCTAATATTTTCCTAGATCATTTTATATAACAGAGTGCGAAAGATAACACATTACGTTGAAATTGGTGCCATTGGATTGTGCATTGAATTTTGCATAGGATTAGATTTGTGCATTAGAATTTTAATTTGTGCATTTGATTTAGATTTGTGCTTTAGAAGAATTGTGCATTAGATTGTGCCCGGGTGAGAATAACCCATGTTTCGCTATTCTCATAACCCGTGTCTCGCTATTCTCACCCCCTCCCTTGTTTTACCTGAAATGATCCAAGAGGGATCAGGGCTGAGGTTACTGGGGCTGATGCTCCATAGGATGGTGTTGGTGTGTGAATAGACATAGATCTAGATCTAGTCACTGTCAGGGTTGTCAAATTGGAGCCAAATCCCAGAAATTTAGTTCTTTTGGATGGTGTCTGGCCCGGAGAATTTCATTTGGCTCTCTGGCTCTTTTTTGGCTTCAAACTCCAAATGTTCAAGAAGAAGGGGACAGAAGAGGCCAGAAAAAAAAAAAGAAAAAGAAAGAATAAAAGAAAAAAAATGAAAGTGAAGAAAAGAGCTTAAATTGTTTAAATTCATTAACTAGTTAACATGATTTAACGCCCTCGCCCATTTGGTCTGAATAATTTACAACCCTTCAACCGTCGTGCAAGAGCATATATAGTCTCATGCTCGTGTCTCGTTATGTTCGTACACGCTCTTGTAAGTTTTCACTAACCTGTATTAGCTGTTGGTATAGATCCAGTTTCGTGTTTCCTCGTCGCTGGGCCCAGCTCGTCTGAAATATGTCTTCCCTCTAGCCTACTGACACTGGAAAACTTCTCGTGAGTTGTCACCGGTATAAACAACTCATGGGCTGAATGTAATTTTTGCCACATTGAATTTTGGAAGGCCAAACCGTGGCCTACACTCTCTGTTCCTTGAACCATAATGTATTGTGGGCAGAGAGGCCAGCCATCGTTAAGTGTGTAAACAACGAATGGTCAGGCCGGCCCCACGTCCCGCTCATTGTCGGTAGTGAGCCTTTTTTTTTACTAGAGAGGCGAAAAATGCTTTTACATTGTTTTTATATGTTCCCAACCCACCAAGGGCCTGGGTGATTTTATCGGCCTGCGAGAAGTCATGGGGGGAGTTCACACCTCATGCCCACACAGGGGTGGGAGCTATTCTCACCGGGGGGGGGGGGGGGGGGTGAGAATAGCGAGACATGGGTTATTCTTACCCGCGGTGAGAATAAAGGTGGCCTTTCCTTTTACTTATTTTACTTAGATCTTTAAACCCCATCAGATGCTGGGAGCGTCTGGCAGTAATAACCCTGTTCCTCATCGAACGGTGGGAGGGAGCGTCCGATACTAGATCTAGTGACAACTGTTTCGTTTTATTTAATGCTAGTTTTGCTTGTTTTTCGGAACTATTCCCGAACCAAGTTTTTTAGTAAAGACTAAGCCTTTGTTTCCACCATTTAGAAGTTGGAGGCAAGCTTTTGGGATTATAATGAGACATAATGCACCAGGTTTAGGTGACTGTAGAAAAAACTCCTGGAATCGGTGGAAAAAAACTCAGGGTTTAAAGAATAAAGTTTGTTAAAGATAAAGTTATAGTGATTTTTTTCTTCTGATTTTTACCCATTTTTATCTCTTTGACGTCTACCAATATATTCTCCACGTAGCCGGCAGTTACGGGGACCTGGAAGTGGGCGACCAGTTTGGCCGTAGCCCCCTCATGTACTGTGTCCTGGCCGACCGGCTTGAGTGTGCCGAGATCCTGCTCAAGGCTGGTGCTCAGGTCAACTTACAGGATAGAGGGGGTCGCACGGCGCTACACTGGGCTGCCCATAAAGTGAGTAGTCTTGGTTTACTGGGAATGAGTTTGTGTTTGTAATTAGCTACTGGTGACAGGTCCTACAACTTTTTTTTTAACACTCAAATCTGCCTTATAAGTCGCCTAAGTTATCAGTATTATAATCAATGTAATATTTTTATTATCATTATTATTATTATTATTACTATTATCATCATCATCATCTTTGGACAATGTGTATTCTGGGTACTCCAATAACTTGCAGGAACAATTAATTATGTGTCGCTGGGACCTGGTTGAGCTAGAGAGACTGCGGTTGGACCATCATTGGAGCATGAGATGGTATCAGAACTTTGTGAATGAAGAGCTCAACCCCGTTGCTGAAGATGCCACCATGAAAAGGAGGATGTCAAACATATGAGGGGCATACTAAAAGTTTTTTTTACCTAACCATGAAGGAATAAAGGTAAAAAGCTGAAATTTGGGGTGAAAGCCAACAATCATCTTCCTAGAATGCATGTAAATTTTGGGGAATTTCCACTTACTGGTTTTACCACCAGTGCACTGTAAGTGAATGGGAGCATGTTGTTCTCCAGTTTCAACATAAAAATTGAGCACAGGGCTGTAATGAAGCTTTTGTTCTTGCAAGGCAAGCAACAACAGGATATTTTTATGAAGGTGCATGCCGCATATGGAACTGATTGCCCATCCTATGCTGTGATGAATTTTGGTGTAAAAAATTCAAATGCGGATTCGTGGACATTGAAGATGGCCACTGTGATGGTCGCCCAGTGACAGCAACAACAGAAAAGAATGTGTTGAAAATCAAGAAATTTGTGTCGTCTGATAGGCAGGTGACAGTTTAACTTTTGAGCAAAGATACTAGGCTTAGCATTGGATCCGTTGAACGAATCTTTAATGAACATTTGAATATGACCAAGGTTTGTGCGAGATGGGTCCCACGTTTGTTGACTCTTCCTCAAAAAGTGCAACATGTGGATTTTTATTAAGAATTGCGTGGTCTGTATGAAAAGGATAAAACTATATTTTTTTAAAGACTTGTAACCATGGATGAGACATCAGTCCACCACTACGATCCTGAGTCAAAATCTGTATCAACGCAGTGGAAATCACCCTCGTCTCCAACACCAAAGAAGGCAAAGGTGCAACCATCAAGAGGAAAGTGATGCAATCAGTTTTTTGGGATCAAGGAGGAGTGATTATGACAGACTATTTTGAAAATGGATATATCATCACCGAAGACCATTATTCTAACCAGCAAAAAAAATTACGAGAGGCTATAAAAGAAAAACACCGAGGAGAGATCCGAAAAGGCATTTTGCTGCTTCACGACAACGCGCAAGCACATACTTCAAGAAAAGCTGCCGAAATTGCGCGAGAAAATGGCTATGAAATTTTGCCACATCCATCCCATTTTCCAGATTTAGTCCCATCTGACTTTTTTTTATTCTCCAAACTAAAAAAAGGATTTAAAAGGAAGGCATTTTGAAAGTGATGATGGGGTCAAAGAAGCAGTAGAGGGCTGGTTTCCTGACATAGAGAGGGTCCTTATTTCTCAAGGTCATACACTGATAGCAAAAATGTGTAACTCTATGGGAGGCAACTACATAGAGAAAGACCAAGCTTAGTACCAAATTTCAGCTTTCTTCCTTTTTTCTTTCATGGTCAGGTAAAAAACTTTTGGTATGCCCCTCGCATGTTTAAATGTCGAGGAACAATGGCAACTCGAAAGGAGTTATTTGGACGAGGGGAGGTGCCTCTGAGTATAATGACAATGAACCGAAAAAGAGCCACGCTCTCACTCGAAGATTTCTTCGTGGAGTCCACCAGGCCCATTAAGGAAACCAAAAAAAGCCCATCATCATTATTATTATTTATTTATATTTTAAAAAAGAATTCTTATGATCATCGTCCAGGGCAACCTACGTTTCATGAAGCTGCTGTTGTCTCGCGGTGCCGACTGCCGGGAGAAGGACAATGAAGGCCAGACGGGCTTACACTTGTGCACCCGACACAAACTGCCCAAGTGCATGGCGCTGTTGCTACGGCAACTGACTCCCGGGGAGATTGACGACCAGGACAAGAATAAGGTCAGAGGCCAGAGGGCGTGGGTCATCTTTTGCTGAGATACTTCACAACTTATACCTTGTGTGACAGTCCTTGGTTTTTGTTTTGTCTCTAGACGTTTATTTAATTATGAGGTGAGATTAGAGAAGGAGAGGAGGAATAGGAGGAGGAGGAGGAGGAAGGAGGGAAAGGACTGACTTAAATGATAGCCTCATCTACTGATGTATTTGTGAACAAGATATGAATTTTCTCTTCCTTACTAGTGTGTTTTCACCTCCTGATTTAAATGTGAATAACAAATGGAAAAAATGAAAAGTTTAATTTTGTCTTCCTTACTTATTGTGTTCATCTACTGATTTATAGGTGAATAAGAAATAGAGAAAATGAAAAGTTTATTTTTCTCTTCCTTACTTGTGTGTTTTCTTTCCCTTTTCAGAGAACAGCTTTGCACTGGGCTGCCTCATATGGGAATCTGGAACATGTCAAAATGCTCATCAAACAAGTGAGTGATCCTGGTATCTAAGATAAGATAGATAAGAAAAAGTAAGATAAGATAAGAAAGATAAGACAAGAAAGATAAGATAAAATAAGATAAGATACAGTAAGATAAGATCAGATGATACCTTATTGTCCCACTGGGAAATTTTCCTTGGCTGTACAGGAATGGTACAAACAGAATATCGTCGGCCTTGTGATAAAACCGGCTAACCCCAGCGAGGTAAATTTTACAGGAGAAGGAAAAAACTGTTTTATTTCAAAACAAAGGTGTTTAACGATAAACCAGTGCTTCAAACACCTATTAAAACACTTTACCTAAACACTGTAGACCTTTTTTTCCTTAAAAAATCGCTTTTAATGAAACTGCGTGGGTCAGACGGTTTTGTCGCTCAAATTTTCCCCGATAAAACCGACCAACCCTCAATTTTGTGGGTTGGCCGGTTTTATCAGGAAGCCACTGCTGGCCTCGAGTTTGGTTGAGTGCAGCCAAGCCACACTTGACTGTAACGTATTTGATCAGTTCTTCAATCATCGTGATCTTTATAGAAGAAGAAGAAGAAGAAGAAGAAGGAGGAGGAGGAGGAGGAGGAGGAGGAGGAGGAGGAGGAGGAGGAGGAGGAGGAGGAGGAGGAGGAGGAGGAGGAGGAGGAGGAGGAGGAGGAGGCTGCTACCGACATACTATCAGCTGCTGCCATTTCAGTGCTACAGAGTCAATTCTTGCAAAAACAGCAGTCACAAATTGGAACATTTAATAGAAGTAGAAGAAGCAGAACACAGCAATGGGTATATTAATCATATTTGAAGTAGAAGATCGAACAGGAGGTTCGAATGGTAAGGGAGAGCAGCTACAGCAACAACAACCACAACAACAAAAACAACAAAAACAAAAACAGAAGCCACAGAGAAGCTCTGCTACCTCAGTAATGGTTTGAGGGAAGTTGGCTTCATAATAATATATTATTATTATACAAAAAGACTTTTTAAGTATCAAAGAATGCGCCAACTTTCTCCAAGGTGCGTGGCTTGACAACTACTACATTATTGAGTTTTCTCAACAATAGAAGAGCATGTCTGTCTCACTCTGTGTCCTGTGGCTATAACAAGGCGATACGACAAAAGTTACCATTGTTTTGAAAGACTACAATAATCGACTTTGACTTGATCGCTTTCAAAACGTCTTACTGAGGCAAAGTTTCATGGTAATTATGGTAGCATCTTGGTACAACCGCCTTCAACTCCAGTAGATGTTTAAACTGGTTGGCAATTATCTTCAATCTGTCTTTCAGAGAGGTCCAGCAGTAACCGTCGTACATTGGGTGTTCAGCTTTCTTGATCCTTTCAGCGCCTGCCATCCATCATCAAAGTTCAGCTTGTACTGAATTTTAAAGACTGGAGTGTACTTTGATGCCTGCAAGTCAGTGACAGTAGGATCGCCTGCTTTTCTCCCAGGACGGATTGTTTAGTGCTCTCCGACCGTTGCAAAATCTTTGAAAAAGCTGTTGCCAAGGTACATAGCTTCATAGGGCCTGGAGATGCGTCTGGCTTGGAGCATGATGTTCACGTAGTCCTCTGGGATGTACATCAGTGTGTTTAAGAGCCATCGCTTAATAGTGCCATGGACTGAATCCACCTCCATTTGGGTATGGCCCTTGGTGAGAATTTCTGCTCAACTGTGATGTTAAGCTCTTTGGCCAGCGAGGCCATTGCACTCACCAGGGTGGCAGTTCTGTTTTAGTAGTTGCACCAATCACTGCAGATGATGAAGTGGTTGAAGTCAGTCACTTGCAATA